ATATGGCTCATTTGGGCGTTCAGTTTGCTTTGTTGCCCCTGTTACGCGTGCCCCATGTGTTTCTTGGCTTGTATTTCTCTACCCTGTCGATTCCTCTGAGGTTTTGCTTGTGGTGGCTGTGTCCCCTCTGGATCTTCGGTTTCCTGGGGACGTGTGAGACATGTCCAGCGGCTTTTGGTGTTGGCCCTGTCCATTCGTTCCCGTTTGCTGCCTGCCTTCTTCATTCCTCGGCTCCCTTTTGTCCGCCACTTTGTGTGTTTTGTTTGTGCCTTTTTGCTCCTGTTGCCGGGTTTTGATTCTGGTTCCTGGCTTTCCCAGCCTGTTTGCATTTTCAGAGTCTCGCGGTGTCCCTTCTCTGGAGTCTGTCAAGGTCTTGGTCTCCACCCTCCTGGCGGCTCGCTGGCGTTGGGCCATTTTTCGGTACGGTAGACGTTCCATCTCCTTTGCCGGCTCGGGTTTCCGGCTCTGCCTGCTCGGTGGTCACACCCGAGGTCTTCCCGCGGCTCCGCCTCTTCCTCGGCTCGTTCGGCTCTGCCTCGAGTCTCGCCTTCTGTTGGTGGTCAGGTGGCTTCGTTGCTGGTGTCCCACCTGCGTGCTTCTTCTTGGCGGCAGTGTGGGGTATTTTGGCGGTCCTTCCTTTTTCCTTCTGTCCCTTCTTCGGTGGCGGTGTGTTGTTGGCGTGGTCTTGTCCTTCTCTTATGTGGGTTCGGGGCCGTTATTTTGCCACATACTGACGCCTCGTTTCGTTCGGCGCTGGCAGAGTCGCTTCCGCTTGCGTTCGGTGTTGATGTTACTTCTGCGCCATTCCCCACGCTGTCTCGTGCGTTGGTTCACCTCCGGCCTACTCATGCGCCATCTGAGCCGTCCTGGTCGTGGGACTGGGTGCTCTCTCTTTTCTCCTCGGTTCTTGTGGCCCCTTCGGTTTTGGTTGGTATCTCGAAGGCTCTTTTTCCTGTTGACGTTGGCCTCGGGGGGTCGGGTTGGTGAGCTTCATGCTCTCCTCCGACACTGGGGTTTCTGCTCCTTTGGTCGGGGCGATCGTTTTGTTCTTCTGTGGCCTTCTCCGTCTTTTCTGGTGTAGAATGTGACTGCTGCTTTCTGGAGGGGTCCCTGGGTTGTTGATGCCTTCTTGGTTTGGCCGGGGGTGCTTAAAGTTTTGTGCCCGGTTGCGGATCTCCGCCGTTTTTGGCACGCCACAGCTTCTGTGTCCGTAGACTCGTTTCAGGTTGATCCGGTTTCCCTTCTTCCCTGGTTGTCCGCAGGGTTATTAAGGCTGGCCAGCCTGCAGCCTCTCTCTGTTCCTGTGACGTTCGCAAATTCGCGGCTCTTGCTGCCGTTTCTTGGGACTGTGTCTTGGGCGGACTTTCAGGCGTGGGGATTTTGGCGGTCAAACTGGGTCCTAACTGCTTGTTGCCTTGTTCACATCCTTAGGCCTAATCCGGCCTGTGTCGCTTTGGGTTGGCAGTTGCTGCCGGTTGTCTCACTTCGTGTTGAGGTGTGAGTGGTGGCCGCCTCCCGGATACGTCCCTTAGACTTTCCTCTGTGGGTAGTTAGCTCCGGGGAGCCGACAGGGCTCCCCCCAGAAAACCAGCGTTGAATGTAATGAAACCCCATTTTCTGGGTGAGACCCGGAGACTCCCCGGCAACCCTCCCTCCCTCCCTCCCTCCGGTCGGCGGTTTTCGAGTTTTTTGACATCCAGCCTCAGAACTGATGGGTGGATAGCCGGGGTGATAGGTCTGGGGCTCCCTCCTTCCCTCTTCTGGGAAGTGGGGAGCTGCTCAAACAGCGGCGTGGTGACTTGTGACGTCATACTAGTTTGCTTGTTTTCTGTTGGGGAGTTCTATCCACTAGTTCGGCTTTAGGTAGCAATTTTCACCAGAATAGGGGTTTGTTTTGGGATGCTTACCTTTCTGGATGCTTGACCCAGTCGATGGCAAACGTAGAATGCTTCCAACCACACGGGGGTTTCTATAGGCCATTGCTCCCCTTGCCTCTCTGAGGGGGCCAGGTTCTTGCCGTAGTCCCCGGTAGGCCCTAAGAACTCCATACACATGACTGATGCCAAAGTCTGACATTGATGTCAGCCTGGTATAGCTCCGGGGAGCCTCCGGGTCTCACCCAGAAAATGGCGTTTCATTACATTCAAGCATATCATGCCCCCTGTTGAAAAGTTCTCTCTTTCGGCGTGCTTATTGCAGCTCCGGGGGGAGCCTCTCGTGTGGGTCTCAGTCCTCCCAGTAAATAATTAAAATGGCAGATTTACAATTTTCATTACAGATGTTATTGAGTGGATTTCAAGATCTTTGCACACTCTGTCACCATTTTCTCTAGCTTTTTTTAGTGATATGATACTGTACTTTGTATTGTCACATTTGTCATAAGCTTTTTCAAAATATGTATATTGCATTGGCATTTTACTTGTCTTCCATGGCATTTAAGGCCATGTCATAATGGTCTAGCAATTATGAGAGGCAGAAGTACTCTGTCCTAAACCAATATTGCCCAGGGTTATATAAGCACTATTATTCCATGTGATCTATCTTCTTGGCACTCAAAGAATTTTATTATGTATAACATTAAGCTATTGGTCTTCAATTTTTTGCATCTGCCTTACTACCGCCTTTATGAAGTGGCACAATCTCTACTGTTCTAAGTATGTTGGGAATAACCAGTATCTAGGCTCCATCTCCAAAAGATGTTTAGGGCCTGTGATAGTAGTTTTTTGCAATTCTTGATGAGTATAGAATTTCAGGAGTCCAGTCCTGGTCATACTGTCTATGGCTACTTCAAAGTCCAGTGGGATTAGGGTGATATCTCGTATATGGTTCAATGGTGGTCTCCTGAGAGATTAGCAGTCAAGGACCTCAGACGATAGAAGATTTGCCAGGTGAGAAAATGCTCAGATAATCCAAAATATCCATGATGCAGTTGCAGGACTGGGTCATATGAATATGAACTGGACCAAGTTCAAGATAACACAGGATGGAGAATGCACTAAATGGCTTCCATCCAGGGAGCACCAACTGCACAGAGAAAACAAGCTCTGCAGGTTTAACTGTTAGATGAAATAAAGCTTAAAGCTTGCACCATGATAACAAATTCCCCCGCAAAAGAATACTTCCTTGTTGCAACCAGACAAGAGGCAACACACATTCGAGGGACCCAGGATGCTAGCCCTGGGACCAGAAAATCAGTGTTATCATTGCAGGGCATCACATTGATGCTAAACCAATCCTGTTCAGAAAAAATGGGCATCATACCAGGGAGCATAACCCCCAGGAGGGCAAGACATGTTATACCAAAGCAGATAGCCATATTGGCCCTGGGGGTGCCTATGATGTGATCATGTAGTCTTTGCCTAACCTGCCAGGAGCTGGAAAAAACTACACACAGAACTCCCCAAAAGCAATGGAAATAAGCTTGGAGAGGTTGGGAAAAGTATGGAAAAGCCCCAAACATACAGCTACCCGTAACCACAGAGCCCACAGCATGGAAGATGCCACTACCAGCTTGGGTAAAACAAGCCAGCCCAGAGTAGAGACCCTCTCGAGCATATCCAGAATAAGTGCAAAACTTAAAAAAATATACATACCAAGCTAAAAAAAAAAAAAAAAAAAAAAAAAAAAAAAAGTCCAACTGGGACAAAAGGTAATAAGGTTAAAGACACCACCTCCTGGGCTCAACTCCTATAAGGCCAGGACTGGCAGTCTAAACCAGATTTCAAGGCAGCAGAGCAAAAAACCCAACCAAAGGGCACACAGCCCAGAGGCCTGCATTCTTATCCTGGCTCCAGTGTAAGTATGGGTCGCAAAGCCCCGGTGCAATTTTGAAAGCTTGGCTTTGCAATATCTTAAGCTCGGATAAGCAGCGGAGTGCCCACCAGAGAAAGGTGTTCCATTACATTTAACACTTTCGCGCTCTCCGCAAAGGTCACTCAGCCAACCGAATGTGCGCGCTGCGTTTTTATCGCTTAAGCGTAAAAACAAAAATGTGTATACTCTTTTTACTCTTCTGACCTTAGTTCTCATGCTACGTATTTCATTTTGGTACCAACGTGTTCGCAATAAAATTCTCTAGAAGAACATCAGTAAAAAAAGTCACGAAACGTATAGGGATACCAGCACCAAATAAATAACTACGAAGATGACTCGCCGTGAGCGCCCATCAGCAACAAAATGTTTTTACTCTTGGGATTGTAATCACCTCCACACTTGTTCTACAGCGTTAATTTTGGTATCAATGGACTCGCAATGAAATTCCCAACACGGTGATATGAATATAAGCGTAGAATAATGATGCGGCCCGCCCGCAAGAGTGTGGGAAGTGGTGAAATTGTTACCCGGTATTAGCACGGCGCTTTGAAAGTTTATACTTATTTCACTCTCATGACATTAATTTTCTATGTACGTCATTCATTTTTGTGTCAATGTGTTCGCAATAGAATGTTCTATGCGCCCATAGGTAAAAAATATCAACAAAGCGTAAGTTAGAATAGCGCCAAATATAAAACAACGCTGGAACATATCAGTGAGCGTCAAACACACACGAAATGCTTTTACTTTTGTTATGTTTGTCAAGTTTATACTTGTTGCACACAGTTATTTTTGGTTGTATATTGATCGGAATAAAATTCCCTAAACAGACATATGCATATAATGCATGATATGGGGGAAGCATTACCAGTATAAACGGCTAAAGTCACCCACCTGCAACCCGTTTGGGACAAAATACCATTTGATCGAAGTTATCCACACCTTTCATGAATTTATTGTACCATGCAGCCTAGTGGTGAGAAAGAGAGCCTCATAGCGCGCAGTTTGAAACAAACCCAAAGTAAATCGGATAAAAATTGAATTTTATACAAATATTTTAAAAGAGGACTCAACTTTATGTCCACTATGCGTTAGCGTTAGACGAAACGGGACGCGCCGATGCGTCCGGATAGCGCGAAAGTGTTAACACTTAATTTTTATTACTATTTGGAATTTTTCTATTGCAGCTTCAATTGGGTCTTCAAAGTGAGGCCGAGGTGAGCATTGGCGCAGGTCTTGGAGTGATCCTGGCGGGTGGCTCGGTATATGACCAAGCTCGAGCTAGACTGGTGGCTGCTAAGCTTCAGGTATGTATTCCATTCACCTGGGCTGTAGTTTCACATTTTTTTCAGGTAATTATGTATGCCACTTCATGGGTAAGTGTTTTAAATTCAAAATGTATTTTATTAACCCTTTATTGAATTAATATTAATATTTTATATTTCATAAAAATATTTAATGCATACAATAATTTTATCATTGTTGGGAAAATGCAAGAAAAGAATATTAGAGGTTTGTTACTTGATTAGAATTTTAGAAGAAATTTATTTGTTATAAAACAGGTATTAATATTTTTCTTTTCTATTAATGTCCATGGTTCTCTCTTCATTCATTGGGATAGCTCTTGCAGTGTCTCGTTCAGATACACCACTTGTTACACCTTGCTTGTATTTTCTGAGGATGTAACCTATAGCTTCTTCCTACACCCACTTCTCTCCTTTCAGTAAATAGCATGTTTTGTAAGTTATTAATACAGTGGAACTGTAATGATCTGAAACTCAAATGCAAAAAGCACCATTTAAAATGAACAAATTCTGAATCACTTTAAATACTACCTGAACCACCTTTATGGACCCTCTAACTAGTAACTTCAATAAAAACCCAGGAAAATAATGAATATAATACCAGTACTGAAGAAAGGGAACGGGCAGAAAATAACAAACTACAGACCAGTCTTCCTAACATGCTTCCCATTCACAGTACTAGAAAAGATAATCAAGGAACAATTAGTGGAGTATTTGGAGAGGATCAAATTTGCAAGTCAGTGTAGATTTAGAGGGGAAAATTTGTGTCTAATAAACTTGACAGTTTTATGATAAGGTCACTATAAAATGGAGACACAGGCTGGGATAACTGGTAAGATATTAAAACTTAGAGGAAAATGTTAATGAAAGATCCCATTTGGGCAAAACAAGTTACACACTGCAAAACAGAACACAGCAATAGGTTTGCCACACAAATACTACAGTAAAGTGCTGTCAGCCACATGGCCCAGAAAGTAAATCATGCAAGCAAAGTTCAGAGTTTCCCAAAACACACTTGAGGTCCCAAAGAGGAAAGCTAAAACTCCTGACACTAGTCGGAGGCAACACAGCACAAGACCAGTCCCAGCCAACTCAGCATCTGTAAAAGCAACACTTGGGACTTCCACTAGTGGACCAGAAAGCTGAAAGGGGAAAACTGTAAAAGAAGCAGATCCCAGATCCCCTGACCAATAGACAAGGCAAATGACTGGGGAAATGAACCACCACCCAGTCATGTTGGTAGGCCAGAACTCACACCTCACTCAAAACATAGGCACTGAAGGATCATATGAACTTGGTGAAGACTCTGAGAGCCAGGTTGAGACTAAATGGCAGAGCCCAAGAATGGTACAAGAGGTCTGATCCCCAATTAAACTCTGAAATTCAAGTGGATGGGACCATGCCAATAAGCATCCCGAGGATCCAGGAAAAGGAGCCAAGAGCCACTTCAATCCCTTGATAAACCTGGGCCACAGTGGCCATCCAAAATGTGGGACAAGGAATAAACCCACTGAGGACTGTCAGATTGTGAATAGAGGATCTAGAGTTTCTCCACTTGAGGGTGTGGAAGAAGTCGTACACCCACTGCAAGGAGTGGTGGTCATCACAAGCACTCCCTTCAACTGGTGTCTCCCCAATGAGGTATACCCTGAAGGGCTGGCAGGATGAACACTGCTGACTGCTAGAGCAGGGAAAACACAGAAGGACAGAGACTGGAGAATTACAATCCTTGATGCACAGAGGTAGCACACTTGAGTCATTTCGTCCGGGTTTGAGCCTTGTGTGGGCATAAATTCTAAACTGTTTGCTCCTGTTCGTCAAGCAATAATTATGGCACTTGGTGGGCTGTGTTCCAGATCAGACTAGTAGAGTAAGGCTTAACATGGGTTACCCGCCTTCAGAGTGTCACATTGTCGTGGTGAGGTGGCTCACTTATGACTCCCTGGAGCAGGTGAGGGTTGCCTTGGCCCCCTCTCCTAGCATTATACATGTTAAGGTACACACCCGTAGGGATCTTGTTTGGGTCAATGGACCACCCACTGGAGGGGTTGTCCATGAGAGGCTACCCCTTGGTGCAAAAGGAAGAAACAGGCCTGTACACCAGTGTGGGAGAATGTAGGATGCAATAGTGCTCCTGTTAAAAAGGGGGGTCACTGCTTGGAACGATGCCCCACTGAGCACTGACTCAGCCTCCCTAGCTGCCCTAGTAGGCGGTATTCCCTGGCTCAGAGAGCCAGACTTTTGAAATTAATGCTGTATGGACACCGAACTGATTTCTTTTACACAGGCTCGTGGGGTGGGCAACCAGGCCCCCCAAGTCAGCCGCTGATGGAAGATCAGACTCTGTAGCCCCAGCCACATTGTGCCCAGAACAGGCTCCTTTGTTGACACCCAACTTACCCTTCTCAATTCCCCTCCGACTTCTGTGGCAGGGTTGAGCCCCAAGCCTTCAGTAGTGACCACCTCATCACCTGAAGTGTCTGAGACATATACACACACATGATGCCTCCTCACTCGCCTTCATTCCAGGATGTGTTTGGTCCTGCCAAGTGACCTAAGTATTTTATTTTTCTCGCATTGATCATACATGTCTCAAAATTAACACATCCATAAAATAAGTAAAAAACAAAGTCAAAGATGAACATGGGATACTAGAGAGGATTAGAGCCTGATCCTCTCTAGTGTCAGTGAAAGTGAAAATCAGGGTGGGGGGGCACAGGTAAATCAAGCAAAGATGGTTGAGCAAGGGGGGCATAAGAAGGGGACAAAGGCAGACTAACAGAGTCCAGAGTGAGAGGAGGCCACGGAGAGGGACGGTTGAGGGAATGGGGAAGGACAGTAACATTGGAGTACGCATGATCAAAGACAGTGTCAGAGGGAGAATCAAAGGCCATGGGATTCTCCATAGCAGGTATATTCGTGGCTTTTATGCCAACTTCCATGAACTCCAATTCCTCATCTCGCAGTTTTCGTCACTTTGCATACGTTTCCAGGAGCCGATGCTGGGCCCACGTCCTGTTCGCTTCCAAAGTTATTCCTTTCTCTCCTTCCCTCCAGTTTTTGCTGGAGCCCCTAACTCTACTACTCTCTTGGTCCATAATGATATTACCTTTGTCCCCTTACTTTCTCAGTCACACATTCATTTCTCTGCTGCCGGTATCTTTGTGAGTAAATAGAACACAGTATTCTATTTCTCCTCCCAAATGTTGTGCATTCTCTACTGGATCTTAAACACATGTTGGACTCTTTACCGGGGCCTGTGCTCCTTTTAGGTGATTTTAACTGTCGGCATGCCCTCTGGGGTGATGTTCTGACAAATACCCGAGGCCACATTCTGAAATTTTTTGTCCTCGTCTGAATTCTGGTGAGCCAACCAATGTTGATGCATGCACTCGCACCCTTTCTTGTCTTGATCTAACTCTGTTCTTACTTATTTAGAGCTGACCCACAGGGTTCTCGATGACCTCCATAACAGTGACCATTTCCCCATCCTCATCCTTCTTTCCACCCTCCCATATCCTTCCCTAAATGGCAGTTTGATAAGGCTTACTGGAATCTGTTCACCCTTCACTCTACTTTTTCTGACCTATCTCGTCTGCTTCTCCCTCGAGCTTGCCTCCTTTTTCATGGTGCCTTATTTGACACAGCCCTGTGCTCTATTCCCAGTTCTACCTCCTGGGGCTCACAATTGTGAATAAATACAAGAAATACACAACAATAACAAAGAAGTGGCCCATGGCAGGACTAAGGTTCCAGGGATAGCCAACACCACTTATGCATAATGCTGAGAAAAGGTCCCATCAGAGGTACCATTTTCCCAGTTGTTGTTATCAGGCAACTGAGAGAAGGTGCAAACTGGCAGGAAACCCAGGTGACCTGGATTGCCACCTGATGGAGTTTAGGTACGCTGTGGTTGGTGTTCATATCACCACAATGATTCTTTGCCTCATTACAGTCAGGTCATAATTTTCTTTAAGCACTTGCTTATTTTGTTGTGCTTATGCTTTCTGGTGGGGTTTTTATTTGTTTGAATTTATCTCTGATCCGCAAGCTCCCCTTTGCTTGCAGAGAGAGCCAATTTCTGATCCTGGCATGCAAGGGTGGGTCTCGGAATCACCAGATGCCTGGTGCATCTGCCTAAGGCTTGGCTAGATTTGCACTTAGCTTAAGGAGCTACTTTGGAGTGGGAGTGGGGTGGCTCCCAGAAAATCCTTACATTTATTTGAGCAGGCTCCAGATTAAACAGTGATCACCGGAGAGTAAATAGTTTCTTCCAGCTATATTAAAATGGGTACTGTACTAATTTATCAATTTCACAAACCTGAAACACAGTAATATAGATATTTTGATTTACAGGTTAGTAAAGCAAAAGGGAAGGATCGGATAAGGAAGCTTTTAGAAACCGCAGTTTCTCTCGAGTTGGTGCGTAAACTATTTATGAAAGTGAGAGCCTACCACAAAGTGAGGGAAACACACTATTTTAAGGTGGGTGGTGCTCTTTGTTGTCTCTTATTTTGGATTTTAAGATGAAATTGCCTTTACTTTACAGGATGGTAATATGTTAACTACCTTTAAGAAAATGTACAGTACGTACAATACTCGTATAATAATATTTTAAATGTCTTCAGGCGCGACTATACCACGAGGTTGGCTACATAGAGGAACGGAATAAATGTGCACTCGAATTTCGTCAGTTTGAGCTGCAGCACCCCTGCCAGTCATACCAGCTGTCTATTAACTCTTTTTGAAATTCTGACATTATTACACTATTATATTTAGCAAATACATTTGTTTTGTAATAGCATACAGTACTGTACCTTGTTTTATTATTAGGATCCTTCTTATTGTTTTAGATCTACAAAACATACTTTGTACTGTTCTAGTCATATTCTTAACCTTTCACTATCATAAATAGGAATGCTTGCACTTCACAAAACATAATTGTTCACTTCAATAAGCAAATTTGATAAAACACTGTACATTGGAAAAACTAGTTTCCACATCCAGTAATCACCTTCACAACAGTTGTTTGATCCTGGTAGGTGACTTTATTTTATTATAATGAGTCAACAATAGTCATTTTTATACTAAAAATATATTGGACTATTTTCTTAAAAATTAAATAGAAATAAACATTCTAACAACTGTCAAGAAGAAAAAATTCAAATTATTTAACGAATGTATTGCTAATGATATTCATTGTTATCCTTTGTCTGCCCTGCCTACCAGGCCTCGGCTTTGTACCTTGCTTCTGAGCAGAAGTCCATAGTGACGTAGGGAAGCAAAGCACAGGCAACAACCAATGTTTGCGGTGTAGTAATACTGGCTACGAGTTCAGTCCCACTTCATTTTCAGGTCGAAAGTTAGACCTTTTCCATTGTCCTTCTCCAACTTTGGAAAAAACTGGGGACTTAAAGTTGAGCGAGCCCTGTCTTCTCTTCCAGTTGGGTTCTGCTGTTTGGTCTGGCTCGGACACCAGTCAACTTCTAACCTAGAGCCCCCTCCCCATCCGGCCCGTTGGCGTCGTGAGAGGGGCTTCGTGGACAGCTGCCGGAGTGTGATGCTCCGTGGGACAGTCCTCTGTCCTTTTATGGCCTTGCACTCCAGCTGCTGTCTTCTCTAATTGTGTCGGATCACTTTTCCTTTTCATTATGTTTAGTTTTTCTCCCCCCTCTTCTCCTATCTGCTTGTCGTTTCCTGCCGACCTTTCGCTTGTTTTGGATTATTTCTTTGGACTTCTTCTATTTTGATGCCCGGGTGCTTGAGGAGGCATACTCTTGCACCCGTAGAACTGTAGTACCCAACGTCTCGAGCGAGGGGAACCTTTTATTGTCAATCCCCCTTCCGTCGCTGAACCCGATCTCGACGGACTGACGGTTCTTAAGGTGGCGTTTGTGGGGCATATACTCATGACGCACCCCTAGGGGGCCCCGGCATGATCGGCGATAGCTTCCTGTTGGGTGTCCTGCCTCTAATTGTGTCTCCATGGTGGGTATGGGGGCACATTCGTGGATGAATTTATCACTCTTCGTACCTATGTCGTTAAATGCTTCTGATGTACCCTCTCGGGCTCGTGGGGTGGGCGACCAAGCCCCCGAGTCGGCCTGTCTTGGAAGACCGGGCTCTGTAGCCTCCGCTGCGTTGGGCCCCGACCTTGCTCCTCCTTTGACCATCCTGACTTCTTCCCCCAGCTCCCCTCCCTCCTCTGTGGTTGGGTTGAGCCTCCAGCCCCCAGTGGTGACCACTTCGTTCCCTGGTGCGGCTAAGTCTCTTGTTGTGACTACTGCGCCTTTTGACCCCTCTCTGGGGGTTCTCAATGCCGTTCGAGCCCCGGCCGCACTCGCTCGATTCCTTCCCGTACTGACGCGTATCAGGCCTTGTTTGGTCCCGCTTCATGGGCCAAATACTTTGATCTCCTCCCTCTTGATTCTGCGCCTCCTGACGATTTCTCCCTCCATCGGCATCTTGTAGATTCCGTGGATGCGTCTGTTACCTTCAACCCAACTCGTCTCGGTACACGTGTCGTTGCTGCCCCTTCTCAGGATGCAGCTTCCCGCTTGGCTGCCTTATCTTGCCTTGGTGAGATCCCTGTTTGGGTCTCCAAGAACGTTCGGATGAATGCCAGTGTTGGCACTATTCTCCTCCCACCCCATGTTGCAACCGGTGTTCGGAATCTGCAGGATTGCCACGATGATATTCGGCATATCCTTGATGCCCAGGGCCATTCTGTCCTCCAGGTTGACTCGTTTACTCGTCCCCCTCGTGGTCATCGCCGTCAACCCCTTCGTGTTGTGAAGATCACCTTTGATGGTAGGACCCTTCCATCCTCTTGTCATTCTTGATGGTGCTAGGTGCTCTGTCCAGGAGTATATTCCTTCTCCTCGACTTTGTAACAAGTTCTGGAGGTTTGGGCATGATGCCCTCCGCTGCTCTGGGACTGTCTCTCTCTGTCCTTTGTGTGGGGGTGAAGGTCACTCTAAGTCGGAGTGCACTTCTCCCCAAGCTCGCTACCTCAACTGCGTTGAGGCCCATCCTACCTTCTCCCGTGCCTGTATCCATTACAAGCTTGAGGCAGCCTTCCTCAACTTGAAGCACCGGGAGCGTTTATCTTTTCCTGAGGCGAGACGCCAGGTTCGCCAGCTCCCGCCTTATGCTAAAGTCTCTTATGCTCGCGTGTTGCGCTCTTCCTCTCCTCGTCCTTCCCTCCTTCCTCAGACTCTCAACCGTTTCCGGGCCTTAGACCCTGATACGCCCACTGCCCCCTCCTCTGTTCCTTTGCATTCTGTCCCGAGGGGTCCCCCTCCTGGTCCTCTGTCTGGGGTTCCCCTTCTTTCTACCCGGTCTGTCATGTCTCCTGTGTCTTCTTCCTTGTCTCCCTCCGATCCTCCTTCCCATCCTCTTCCTCCATCTATCGGCTCTCCCTGCCGCCTGTCGGTGCAGGCGAATGTCCATCGCTCTCCTAACGGCCGTCGTGTGTGCTCTCGTTCAGCTTCTCCTGTTGAGACACTGGAATCCGTTGCCCGGTACATAGTTGCTGGGACACCGGTCTCTTTAAGTTAGAAGCGTAAGCCTGGCTCCTCTCCTTCCTCCTCCCCGGCGGGTAAGAAGGCTTTGCTTTCTTCCTCAGCCCCTACTTCTGGCTCTGTTGCTCCTTCCTCTCCCATTTCAGTGATTGCACCCCTTGTTCCTGCTATGGAGGTTTCTTTGGCCCCCGCTTCCCTTTCGGTTGCTGCTCTTGCTGAGGTGCGCTCCCCTCTTTCTACTCCCCCTCTTCCTGCTGCTGTCCTTGACTGCTCCTCTCCGTTGTCTCCTCTTCCTCCTCCGGACCCCGCCCGCCCACCTCTGGTCTGTTCTCCCGCTTGCTTCCCTCCGTCTTTGCTCAGTTTACCCATGCCCCCTAACCCTGACTTTGCTGACCCTGATCCTGACCCTGATATTCTTTAACGTGCTGTGTTGCTCTTTAGCCTTTGTTTCTTCCTTGTTCTCTGTTGTTGTCCTTTCCCTTCTCGTCGATGTCTATTCTTCAATGGAACGTTCGAGGTTATTATGCCAATTTCCTCGAACTCCAACTCCTGATTTCGCGGTTTTTGTCCCTTTGTGTCTGTCTCCAGGAGCCGATGCTTGGTGCTCGTCCTGGTCGTTTTCGTGGCTATTCCTTTCTCTCCCCCCCCCCCCCCAGCTGTTGCTGGGCTCCTAATTCTTCTGCTCTCTGGATTCGCGCTGATGTTCCCTTTGTTCCTTTACTTCTTCCTTTGCCTCTCCATTGGTCTGCTGCTCATATCTTTGTAGGGAAATGGTACACAGTTTGTTCCATTTACCTCCCCCCGAGTGTCCCGCTTTCTCTTCCTGATTTGAAACACCTCTTGGACTCCTTGCCGGAGCCTGTGCTCCTGCTGGGGGACTTCAATTGTCGTCATTCTCTTTGGGGTGACGTTCTGACGAATACCCGGGGTCGCCTTCTTGAGCCGTTTCTCCTCTCTTCTTCCCTGTCTTCTGAATTCTGGTGAGCCCACTCATTTGGACTCTCGGACTCACACCCTTTCCTGTCTTGATCTTTCTCTCTGCTTTCTTCTCTTTACTTAGATTTCACGTGGCAGGTTCTTGATGACCTCCATGGCAGTGATCATTTCCCTATCCTTGTTTCCTTTTTCTCGTTTCGCCCTTCCCTCTCTTTTCCTAGGTGGCAGTTTGCTAAAGCGGACTGGAACCTATTTACCCTCAGTGCTGCTCTCTCTGACCTCTCCCTCGCGCTCTCCTCCTTTTTCATGACACTGTCTTCAAAGCTGCCCTCCGCTCTATTCCTCGCTCTTCCTCTCGGGGTCCGCAGAAGTGCGTTCCCTGGTGGAATGCTGATTGTGCTCGGGCTGTCCGCTGTAAGCGTGCAGCCTGGAAGAGGCACCGCCGTCGGCAGACGGCCGATTCTTTTCTTTTCTTTCGGAAAGCGAGTGCGGTGGCCGGTAGGGCCATCCGTACAGCTAAACGTGAATGTTGGGCATCTTATGTCTCAACAATTACGTCCGAAACTCCTCTGCTCCAGATCTGGAAGCGTATCCGCAAGATAGCGGATAAGTTCGTTCCCGATGTTTCACCAGTCCTTCACCTCCATGATACTCTTGTGGCGGACCCGTTGCAGGTCGCTTCCGAACTGGGTTCCCACTTTTCTTCTGTTAGCTCTGGTCTTCATCTTCCCCAATCTTTCCTTCTTCGTAAACCTGTCCTTGAGTCTCGTCCTTTAGATTTCTGCACTTGTCTTCAGCTTCCCTATAATGATCCCTTCTCTCTCTCTGAACTTCGTTCTGCCCTGGCCCTCTGCGGTTCTACAGCGGCGGGCTCCGATGGTATTCATTATGAGATGCTTCGCCATCTCCCTCCGTGCACGTCTCAGTACAGTATTTACTGAGTCTGTATAATCGGATCTGGGAGTCGTCGTCAGTCCCTGAGGACTGGCTTGATGCCGTTGTCCTCCCTGTTCGCAAACCGGGGTCTCTGGGTACTTCCCCTAAGGACTTTTGCCCTATTGCCCTCAACAAGTTGTGTCTGCAAACTCTTTGAACGTATGGTTAACGTTCGTCTGATGTGGTTCCTGAAACACCATCGCCTCCTCTCCCCCTTCTCAATTTGGTTTCTGCAAGTGCCACAGTACGACGGATGTCCTGGTGAACTTGGAGGTCTATATTCGTACTGCTTTTGCTGCGAAGACCTCCGTTGTTGCCGTCCTTTTTGACCTGGAAAAGGCTTACGACACCACTTGGCGATATCATATTCTATCTCAACTTCATTCTTTTGGCCTTCGTGGTCATCTCCCTCTCTT